GAGGCATCTGGGGGCTGTTTTGGAGCCTCTTGGGGCCTGTTCTGCCCCTTGGGGGCTTCTATGGGCGGAAGGGTCGGATTTTCGATTCGTATTACCTCTCTTGGGACCCTCTTGAGGCCGTCTTGGGGCCTTGTTGGGCCGTTTTGGGCGCATCCTGGGCCGTCCTGGGGCCCTCTTGGGGGCCTCTGGGACCCTCTTGGGGGCCTCTGGGACAATCTTGGGCGGTCTTGGGTGCCTCTCGGGACGTCTTGGAGCGTCGGAAGTTAGAAAAGCAGACAATCCAAAAAAATGTTCACGAATCGAAGGACATTCAATGATTTTGGCCTCCTCGGGGCCGTCTTGGAGCCATGTTGGGCGTCTTAGACAGTCGACCTGCGATTCGAGGCCCTCTTGGGTCGTTTTGGGGGCCTCTTGCGGCCCTCTTCGCCTTTCTTGGGGCCTGCTTGGCCCCGGCAGAGTGATGCGGCAGAGCCGCAAGAGATTTGTGAAGTTGGGGTCCGGGGACCTAACAGAATCTTCAGAGTTGAGGGGTGAGGCTCCAGGGGATTGGGCAAGAGGCCTGAGGAGATTCAAACTCGTGCCTCAAGAGCACGGTGGCGGATCTATATTTACATTTTTATACATATACACACATGCACATGGGTATGTATGTATGCATGTACGTATGAACGTGCGTATATACCGATTTACGCATGTATGATGTTATCATGTATGTGGTTGTATGTGTATGCATGTTTGCATGTACGTGTGTATGCATGTATGTTTGTATGTATATATAGTCTAGATGCATGGATGCATGTATGCATGTGTGTATGTATGTATGTTGTTATGTATGTCTGCATGTATGGTTGTACGCGGGTATGTATGTCTGTATGTGATTATGTATGTATGTATGTGTGAATGCATGTATGTATAGATGTATGTGTGTATGCATGTGTACATGTATGTGTGTATGTGTGTATGTGTGTATGTATGCATGTATGTATGTATGTATGTATGTATGTATGTATGTCGGAGGTGAGGGGCTGAGATCGAAGTGGAACGGAGAGCCTCCCTACCGGGAAATCGGTTTCGGTTTCGTGTTCGTGCGTGCCGTGCGTGCGGGCGAGGCGAAGCTGCGTGGGCGGGCAAGAAATGTCCTGCCTCTGGCTGAGGCGCGGCCAGACCAAAAGTCTCCCTTCCGGCAACGGGTGCACCGCGGTGTCCCGCCGATGTCCCGCCGGTGTCCCGTCGGTGTCCCGATGACGATGATGATGATGATGATGATGACGATGTTGATGATGATGATGATGATGATGATGATGATGATGGCCATGGTGGTAATGATGGTGTCCCGATGATGATGTTGATGATGCTGATGTTGCTGATGATGATCGTGTCCCGATGATGATGACGATGATGTTGATGATCCTGATGATGTTGATGATGATGGGACGATGATGATGAAGAAGGTGATGGTAGTGTCCCGATGATGATGAGGTTTATGATGATGCTGTTGATGATGATGATGGTGATGATGATGCCGTCCCGATGAGAATGGTGATGATGATGATGATGACGATGATGGTGTCCCGGTGATGATGATGATGATGTTGATGATGAGGATGATGATGAGGTGATAATGATGATTTTGATGGTGGTGGCCCGATGATGATGATGATGATGATGCTGATGTTGATGATGATGATGGTTTCCCAATGATGATGATGGCGATGATGATGATGATGATGATGGTGACGATGATGATGGTGTCCCGATGATGACGATGTTGGTGATGATGATGTTGCTGATGATGATGGTGGTGTCCCGATGATGATGATGTTGATGATGAAGTTCATGATGATGCTGATGAGATGATGATGATGCTGATGGTGGTGTTCCGATGATGATGATGGTGTCTCGATGATGATCCTGATGATGATGATGATGATAATGGTGACGATGATGGTGTCCCGATGATGGTGATGATGGTGATGATAATGATGGCCATGGTGGTGAAGATGATGGTGTTCCGATGATGATGATGTTGATGATGCTGATGTTGCTGATGATGATGATGTCCCGATGATGATGCCGGAGATGATGATGATGATGATGATGATGATGATGATGTTGATGATCCTGGTTATGTTGATGATGACGAGATGATGATAATGATGAAGATGATGATGATAATGATGGTGTCCCGTTGATGATGATGATGATGATGAGGCTGATGATGATGATGTTAATGATGATGTTGATGGTGATGATGATGATGCCCCGATGATGATGCTGATGGTGACGACGATGATGCTGATGATGATGGTGATGAGGTGATGATGATGGTGTCCCGATGATGATGATGATGATGATGATGATGATGATGATGATGATGATGATGATGATGATGATGATGATGTCAATGTTGATGACGATGATGGCGATGATGAGGATGACGTTGATTGTGAGATCGATTGTGATATCGATAGTGAGACCGAATGTGAGATAGATTGTGAGATCGATAGTGAGATCGATTGTGAGATCGATTGTGAGATCGATAGCCATATCGATTGTGAGATCGATCGAATGAAATAGATCGGGTGATATCGATTGTGAGATCGATAGAGTGAGATCGATCGAGCGAGGCCGATAGTGAGACCGATAGTACGATCGATAGTGAGACCGATCGAGTGAGACGTTGGTTCCTCCCCCCCCGAACCCACCCGAAGGGTGGTCGTATAGGTATGTGTGCATGTATGTATGTGCATGTATATATGTATGTATGTGGAATGTAGTGCGATGGACTATACTTGAATGTGATTAAATGTTTTGTAATGTAATGCCAGATAACGTAATGTAATAAAATGCTGTGTAAGTACATGTGTTGTAATGGAATGTAATGTAGTGGACTGCAATGTAACGTATGTAATGGAATTTGATTGAGCGGGATGTAATGCAATGTAGCGGAATGTGGTGTATGAATGAATGTATACGTGTGCCTATACATATATACACATACATATACATGTATAGGTATGTGTGAGAGAGAGGCCGTGACACGGTTTGGGAGGGCGCTTGGGGGCATCTCGGGGACTTCTTCGGTTTTTTCTTGGGGCCTAATTTGGGCTTCTCGGTAGCCTCCTAGGGCTCTGAGGGGCCATTGAAGGCATGCTGGCGTTCTCAGGGGTCATCTCAGGGCGGAGGGCTCGAAAGATCGGTCCGCGTTCCTCCTCCCACGGGCTCTCTTGGAGCACTCTTGGGCCGTCTGGGGGCCCTCTTGGGGGCCCCTTGGGCAGTCTTTGGGCGATATTGGGGACCTCCTGGGCCGCCTTGGGATGTCAGGGACCCGAGAGGGCGAGAACGCCAAAGCATACAAACTCACGGGGATCAAGTGTTGGCCTCTCGGTGCCTTGTTTTTTTTTGGGGGGGGGCTCTTGGACCCCTCTTGGGGCGCCGTGAGACCTCTTAGGCAGCCTGGAGGCCATCCTGGGCGTTTTGGGGCGACGTTCGGGGAAAGTCGGGTCTGTATTGGGGACTTCTTTGGGCCCTCTTGGCCAAGTTTGCGGCCGTCGTGGCTCCAGACATTCAGGCGACAAGGCCCAAGAGCGCCCAAGAGCCGACAAAGCTCTTGGCTGTGGTGTTCGGCCCTTCAAGAATCCCCAGGGCTGAAGACAGGGAACTCGACGGACCTGAAGACATTCCAACTCATACCTCAAGGCACGGAGGCGGAGCGTGTATACTTATACATGTCATAAACATACACATGTGTAGATGTGTCTGTTTGCATAAGCACACATGTGCGTATACCAGAATGCCCATACACGTACGCATACACACGTAGCGACCTATGTATCAACGTACCTACTTGCATGCATGCATGCATGCATGTATGTATGCATGCATGCACATACAAAGAGGCACGCCGGCATACCTATGTGCATATAGATGTACATGCATACATACACATATACGTACATGCATACATGCCTGCATACATACACATGCATGCATACATACAATAGACGACTGCATACATACATGCATACATGCATACACCTATACATGCATACATACATGCAAACATACATACGTACATACATACGTGCATGCACACAGGCATACATACCTGCATACATGCATGCATGCAACATGCTTACATACACAGAGTGGCCTGCACACATACACGCATACACACAAGCGTACACAACGATGTACGCGCATACATAAATGTATTCATATATAGGCGTGCATATATATATATATAGATATACATGCATATGTATATTCATGCATAAATGTACACAAACAGACATACACATATACACCTGCATAAGCATATAGCCATACACCTACACATGCATGTATGCCTGTGCATTTGCATGTAATTATACATACACCTATACATACACATATACGGATACATCGACATCGACCGGTACATACAAATACATGAACGCATAGGTATGCACTAAACATATATATATACAAATATGTGTGTACATCTATGTACATGTATATTTATGCCTGTATTCAGAAAGGGAGACTGTAATCGTGTGCTCGTCTTTCTGATGGCAACTTCGATTTATCGTTGATGAGCAGCATTCGTGATAGCCCTCGCGTGCCGTCATGTACAGGAAGATTGCGCAGACCTTAAGCACCATTGTGACCAGCATGACGCAGCCAGCACCTCGCCCAGTTCCACCAGCGCGGCCACCAGCAGTAAGAACTTTTATTTCTGACGTCCCAGAATCATTATGTGAGCCTCTATCAGAGCCATGTCGGGACTCTCTTAGTGTTCTCTTGTTGGTTTGTGGAACCCGAATTGGGGCTTTCATGTGGCCTCGTCGATGCGATCCTGGAGGCCATCGGCAGACAAAGCGGAGGGCACCTACTTTCGCCTCCCTCTTGCCGATTCATTTCTTCTGAAATTGCTCTTGAGGGTCTCTTTGGGCGCTTTGGAAAGATTGTAGTCTCCGTCGTTCTTTCTCAGCGGTCCCCATAATGAGTGCTCCGGTCAGGTTTGACCTTGTCCCAGTGCCAGGCCGAATGTCTGGACCAGCTCCTGTGCGGGTCCATCAACTATCAGACAGGGACTCGGCCGCTAGACACTCTCCTCCTGTTGTCACGCGTACGTACTCCTTTTATCAGTGATGCATGTTCGCCCGCCTTGTCTTCACACACACACACACCCCAGCTGCCAGGCTTGTTCCTTTTCCATTGTTCTCGGCACTGGCACAAATCATCCGGAGCGCAGTCATTTTCCCCTTCCCCTGCACCAGCCAAGTCCTTGCTTTGTTCGGGGGATGGCGCCCAGACCAGATGCTACTCGATTATCGCAGGCCATCGTTGCTCCATTGCCCATGTCAATAACCCAGCAATGCATGTCCAGCGTCTGCTTTACTTCTGATGTTACAGATGCGACTTCGACTTGCTTGCCTGCCGCTGCTGATCAGAATTCATCTGCATGATTTATTTTCATGGATGCTTATATTCACATGTGTGTGATAAGACACTCGCACTTGGGACTTTCACAGGAAGGTCTGACAGCCAATATCGAAGTAGAGATTATACCAGCGCGTCGACCTGAAAGAGTGATCATACAAGCCATGATGAGGATACATGGTGATGATGCGTGCCTGGCTAAATGGAAACAGTCGTTTGCCCCAGGGTAGGACTGGGGACAGACGGGGACAGGGCCAAGCCCAGGAGATGGACGGTGGCAGACGACACGTCAGGGCAGGGCCGAACCGAGGAGATCGGTGGTGGCGGCGGAGGGCAGGCACCAGGGCCTGGGGGCAGTCGGGGACAGGGCCGAGCCAGGGAGATTGGTGGCTGGCGGCTGAGGGCGAGCATCAGGGCCTGGAACGGTCGGGCACGGGGCCGAGACAGGGAAGTCGGTGGTTGCGGCGGAGGCGAGTGCCGGGGCCGGGGACAGTCGGGGACCGGGCCGAAGCACTAATTTCTCGGTGGGGGCGGAAGGCGATCGATTCCACCCTTGGGCGAATCCACTCCGTGCAAGCGCTGGCTGTCGAGTCAGGAGCGCCAGCGCATTGCAGTTGCACTGGGAGGACTGGGAACACGTTCAGGCAGGCGAGCCCGACCAGTCGGGTTGCCCACCCAACAGGATTTGTGGAATCACACAAATATGTACATATATTTATGCACATATATATATATATGAACATGAATATGAATACATATATAAACATATATATATATATATATATATATGTTACAAACATATGCATATGCATGTGTACACACTTGTACTTCGCGGCCGGCTGGTCTAACGCAGTGAGGGCGGTGGCGGGAAGGGCCAAGTCGATTGCCACCAGACGTGTGCCGACGGGCACTGACAGACGAGCGACCGACGGTTGCAGAAGAAGCCGAAGCCGTGCGCGTGCGGAGGCGCGCGCGCGGGAAGCCGGGAAACGAGGGCGCGTGCAGACGTCGCAGGCGACCAGCCTATTGGGTGGCGCAGTGCGCCGCGTGGGGAGCGGGCGGATGCGGCAGTCGCCGCGCGGCGAGGGCAGGCCCGGCGGCCGGAAGAGGCGCCCCCGCAAAACGGCGGCGCCAGCACCGAGGTGGCCGACTTTTTGGCAGGAGCACGTGCAGCAAGAGTCGGGCGTGAATGAGTGAGGAGGGGAGATGGAAGGGAGGGAGGGGGGCGGGAGGGGGGAAAACGTGCACCCTGAGTGCTCCTTTTGGGCCCCAGGGGGCCCCTTGTCGGGCCCCTTCAGGGCACAGAGGTGCAACTTTCTTCCCCCCCCCCCCTCGAGGATCGCCCCCCCAGTCACTTACGCCCAAGAGAGGCAGAGGAGGGAACTGCACCCGGGGACCGGAGCCAACCCGGGAGGAGGGGAAGCGACAGCAACGACCCGACGACCAGGGGGAGGAGTACGAGGCCCAGGGCGACGGCCTGGGGGGACGTGCAGAGAGAGGGCAGAGGAGCGACGCGTGACGACACAGACAATTTTTGCGTCGGCGGCTAGGCAGAGTGACTGCGCTGGCGTTGAAGCGTTGAGAGACGAATTAACACGAATTGGGCCACCATGCAGAGAAAACACAAACACGCGCAAGCAAGCAAGCAAGCTCCAGGACGACATACCCTCCGTTGCTCGCACGCCCTGCAGCCTCACCCCTCGGGGACGGGGTGGCGCGACCTGTGGCCGAGGAGCTCCTGCGGGGGCGAGGGCATCTCCCCGGGCGCCTGCTACGTCTTCGTCGCAGGTCGCCCTGCCGGCGGCCGAGTCGAATCTGAGACGGGCTTCGCCGCGACCAGAGTCTGGCTAGCAGTCTGACGGGGTCCCCCCAGCAATTGATGACGGCCGCTTGCGGTTGGGGGTGGGACTGAAGGTGGCGGGACCTTTTGAGGATGCGGCGGGCCCAGAAATTCGTACCCCAGCCACCGAACTTGCTGCCTGGGCCACCCGCCACCCCGATCGCGTCCCTGCGCCAGTTCTTGGAGCGGTGCATTGGCAGAGGGCGAGGCCTCGACAGAGATGCGAGTGCCAGACTCAGTATCGTTTAACCGATCTCCATCCCGTTCCCGATCCCCGCGCCCTCGAAAGCCGAAAAGAACAGGCTATACCTCCATCTAGAGGGGTAAATCGGCCAGTGGGGCCCAGGCCACGCCTTTGGGGATTTGGATCGGTGAAACGATGCTCACAGACGAGTGCGCGAGTGGGGTTCATTGGGGCGTTTGAGGGCCTCGGCGCATCTTGGGGTGTTTCTGGGCCTCCCAGATGGGGTTGAGGGTAGATGGGGTCGGAGGATCGCGCCGCATCGCCGATGCATCGGCGATGCGGCTCGATGTGGAGCCCAATTTGCTCCACGCCGACGGCGCCGATGCATCGGCGATGCGGCGCGATCCTCCGACCCCATCTACTCGGACCCAGTCAAGGAGACCTCTATTGAGGGCCTCGGCGCATCTTGAGGGGGTTATGAAGCCGTTGGGGAGCCGCAAGCCGAATCTGTCGGGCCCATACACAAGAAAAGAGCCGGTTCTGAACCCGTCGGCAGTTTCAACGGACTGAGCGGCCCCTGAATCGGTGTCAGGAGGCGCTGTTGGGGGGTCATGTCGTCGCGCCTTGGGGGTTACGATGACGTGAGTGCACGGAGAAATTCAAATTTGTGAAAACCAAGCGCATGTCATGGATTTGTCATGGTCTTGGAGTTAGTCCGTAAGTTTCTGCAGCTGATACATGTCACGCGATCTCGCTCAAGTTTGGATTCTCCTTGGCATCAGACTACTAATGGAAAAATAGTGTTTTAACGACTAGCACTGTTAGGATTGAAAAGGGATCCAAAACGAGCTGGTTTCCAGCATCGGGTCGAGATCTGTGTTAGAGAGGTCCAAGCGGGCCTTAAGAAGGCCCCGACGCGGCACAAGAGCTCCCTCCAGGAGGGCCCAATAATGACCTTTCTTCCTCTTCCTGCTTCTCTTCCTCCAGGGCGCTCATCCTCCTCCCCCTCCTCCTCCTCCTCTTCCTTCTCCTCCTCCTTCCTCCTCTTTCTCTCCTCATCATCATCGGCAGCATCATCATCGTCATCGTTATCAGCAGCAGCAGCATCATCATCATCATCCGTGGGATGCCAGTGGCTCTGGCACAATTTCTGCCCCCCCAGTTGAAGAGTTCCCCGCACATGTCAACTTTCTTCCCCAGTTCTCTCGAGCCTACGACGAGCTCTATTGCCGCAATGTCCCTCCTTTCTCATTCCCTCTTGCCTCCTTCCCCCTCTCAGCTTCCGAACGCGCCTCCTATGCACAGCTCAGCACGCTGGCACTGCCCACTACCAGTGGCAGGACTGCGCCGTCATGCACTGGGGGTGGGGAGGGGAGGAGGGAGGCACGGGAGGAGGGGAGGACAGGGGGGAATGAGAGGAGGGGTGGAAAGGAGGGGACGGGGAGGCATGGGAGGAGAGGCGCGGCAAGAGAGGCCCGCGAACTGGAGTTTGGGGAGGCTGGCTAGGAACAAAAGCCCGAACCCGCCCAAAAACTTTACATAAAGAGGCTTAGGAGGGGGTTCTGGGGCAAAACCCCTTCTGAGGGGTTAGGGGGCTTCAAGTATACTATCGTTTTCTACCTTGGCGCCCCGGGCCCGGGAAAGCTCCCCCGAAACCCTCTGATAGGGAGCTGGGGGGGGATCCAGGGAGGCTTCTGGGCACTGCCACACCTGTCTCCAACCGAAAGCAGACTCTGACAAAGAGGGGTTCCCGCGGAATGTAAGTTGCACATGGGCCTTGCACCCAAACGGGACAGGGCACCGAATATATCCCGGCCCCTAGCCCACCGAGCTTTCCTACCAGACTTTTTCGAGCAAGCGCTGGCCCCAACTGACGCGAGATGCATTGTAACAACATTGGGCAGTTTTTCAGAGCAGCGCAGTAGCTTAACTGGGATGTTTGACATTGAAGCATCAGGGCTAGTCCCCGAGACATGGTTTTGCACCCGCGCGCCTGGGACTGGATCCGTTCTTGCAGATTAGGTGCCGGCTGTTGGCAGCTTGCCGTCCTCACACTTTGCTCCGCCTCCTCGGCACCCGCTGCATCGCTTGACTGCGTCGCTGGCGCTATAGGCGATCTGAGGCGGAGTAAAAACTCATGCGGGCTGGGTGGTACCACAGAAGAGATCCCGAACAGTGATGAGTGTATCTCTCTCTCTCTCTCTCGCGCGCACGATCACATGTTGCAATGCTCCGCTCTGAGAGCCAGTGGCTTTCAGGTGGTCTTGGTGAACATGGTGCCCAGGGATCGGGTTCCCACTTGTATTTCTAACGCCGTCTTGCCTCACCCGTCCGCCTCCCCCTCTTCTATTGAATGTATCGTCACTTCGTCACGGCTGTCCCGTTCCTTACCGACCACACTTTGCTTCTCAGCATGATTCTGCAACACACCCGCTTTCTTGAACCATCTCCATCGCTCGCCCCTCCATTCCTCGATTACCCATCAGCTTTACAATTCTTCCCTCCGTCACTTATCCTCACCTTCGAGCCTCTTGGTTGAATACGTCCTTGATGAACAGAGTGGCCTGAGCGGCTAAAGCGGGTCTCCTGGGAGCTGCAAGGGAGCTCAGTCTAGAATTGCCAGGGAGCTGCAAAGGAGCTCAGTCTAGAGCTGCAAGGGAGCTCAGTCTAGAGCTGAAGGGAGCTGCGAGGGAGCTGCAAGGCTAGAGCGGGTCTCCTAGGCTAGTTCAGGCAGGGAGCTGCAAGGGTCCTCGTTTCAAGCACGGCCTCTTGGCCTTGGTCCATGACCTCACTTTCATGCCAGCCCAGTCGCGTCATGCCGTGCGCGCTGTGTCGCGCGCACGGTCTGCCACAGCATGTGATCTGCCAGACGCATGTCACGGCGTGCCAGCGCGTGACGCGGCATGCGCACAGGCTTGGCCGAGCATGCCGTGTTCTGTTTGCTCTGTTGAGTGCGCCGTGCAGTGCGTTTCGCGCCTGGGATGCCGTGCTTCGCGTAGATCCCATGCGTACCGAGAGCGCAGTGCTGCGAGTACAGTGCCAACAATTTCGTGTTGATGGAGCTAGGCCGGGAGTGCTGTGTGAGTGCAGTGCGGTGCCGCGCGTAGTCTCTTTTCTGAGTTTGATGCGCCTAGCCGCGCGTACAAACAAATGGGTGTTGAGATCACCGCGCCGTGCGGTGCGAGCCGTGATGAGCGCGTTGTACGGAATAATGCGGTTTCAAGAGGAGTGTTATTTTGGGCGTGTCATGCCGAGACAATTGTGCAGTGCGCGCGTGCCGTCCATGCATGCTATTCCGTGCGTGACGTGTTGAGTTGCACGTGCCACGCGTGCTAGCGCAAGTGTTTTCATGCTTGAGATCAGCACGGGCGGTACGTGTATTTCGTAATTTGGCTAATGGCCACGTTGAGTTGTGAAACAGTCGATTTCGGTGTGCATCCAATGTTGCGCGCGTGTGCCAGTGGCTTGCGTGTGTGTGCGTGTGTGTGTGTGAGTCTGGTGTAGCACGCGCGCGCTACCATGTCTTTTGGTGCAGTTTGTTTGGCTGCATGCTCCTCCTGGTCTCCTTCGGTTTGGCTTGTGTTTGGTGTTGATTCACTCGTTGTTTCTGCCACTCGGAGGTTCCTCCGCCTACCCCCGTTGGAATCCGTTGGACCAGGATGCACATTGACGGCATTGCTTTTCCTGCACGGTTCGTGCTCCCGTCGTCCGCGCAGCGTTTTCTTGTCATCATAAGCGGGCTTCGTCTAGTTTCCCTCCCGTTTGTTTGCCGCATTCTCGGATGAAGGGTGTTTTGTGATACGAGCGCGCATGTCTCTTGAACAACCCGTACAGCCTTGTGCGAAACCAAGTTCAAGTTTTTATCCAACCCCCTCGGTCCCCAATTTCAATGTTTAGCGACCCGCGCAACGCGGCCCGCGGGGTCCCAAAAAGATGTGCAGCCGCCAGTTGCGTCGCGAAGGTTGAAATCGGAGTTCCGAGGACGCCGCCACGTCGCGGGAAAAAAGCGTCGCGGAGGCATGTAGTACCATTTGCTTGCGTTGCCGTGTGCTTGTGGTGTCGTTCACGGGTGGTGCCGTGCGTGCGTGGTGCCGTACCATGTGTTGGGGGCCTCTTGGGCCTTTTCTTGGGCCTTTGGGGGCCTCTTGGGGGCCCCCTTCCTGGGCGCCTCTTGGGGCCTCCTGGGGGCCTCTTGGGGCGGAAGGCTCGGATTTTCAATTCGTGCTCCCTCTTTTGGGCCCATTTGGGGGCCGTATTGGGGCTTAGGCCGTTTTGAGCACCTCTTGGGCTGTCTTGGGGCCCTCTTGGGCCGTCTTGGGGCCGTCTTGGAGGCTTCGTCTTGGGCCGTCTTGGGGCGGTCCACGACAAGCTCCAGGAGATTTCGGAATTGGGTGTCCGGGCCCCGTATAGACCACTCCGTGCCCAGCGGCACGGTGGGATATGTGTTCTGCGATATGAGCTTGCGTGATCTTGCGTGTTTCAATTATTCGACGCGCAGGTTTCCCCTCCCCGTCTGCATGCATAGATCTATGTGCTCACCCTCCCCCTTTAAGTATACCGCTTGCCTTGCCTTGGAAGTGTTCCACTTTTTAATCCCGTCCCCTCATCTGCTCCCCACTCCGTCCGCATCGTTTTCGTTACTCCCCGCCGCATTTCTTTCTATGATTCTTTCTTGTGTGGAGAAGGTAGTAAAGGAGGAGGAGGAGGAGGAAGAGGCAGGAGGAAGAGGAGGAGGAGGAGGATAAGGAGAAGTGGGAATTGAAGAAACCATGGAAAGGG